CCGAACTGTCAGAACTTTACAACGGCTAGTTTTTTACAGCTGTTTTGAAACTGGTTTTTTGGTCTTTTTCTTATGTTTTTGCTGTTGTGTTGGGGTGCTATAAATACCCCATTGCTGCTCTTCTTCTACATATCCAAGAAATCCAAGTTTGGTGTTTAACAAAATATTGATTGTGTTTAAGAGCTGTTTAATAGTTGATTTCATCAATCAGTTTTTCAAGAGAAGTTTTTCTACAACAAGAAGTGACATTCAATCCTATTGGAATCATCTCTACTGTTCTTCTTGCTTGAGAAGTCTTCTAAACTCCTATATAGCTTATTATTTCATTTTCATTTCATTTAGCTATATCTATTGAGTTTCATTCACTGTTATCACACACACTTATTGAGCTTAATATTTTCATACCATATAGTGTAGGTTGTGGGGTGTGATTTAGTGAGTGTGAACTTTATTGAGTTCTCACTTGTTATTTGAGAACAAATCATTGTATTTAACTTTTATTTGTGAAAATCACTTGTAATACACTTGTACACCGAGAGAAGTGTGAGGCGAGACACGGGGTCGAATCCAATAGGAGTGGCGTCGATTGACGAACCTAGGGAGAGGTTGTAATCGAGCACTTGAGGAGGAGGACACGGGGTAGGTTCCTACACTTAGTGTGTAAAGTGTGATTGCATAGTGTTTGTGTAGTGTGAGAGTTTTCGGTGATCTTGTAAACTGAGTGTGTAGAAGTTCCGGCTTCCAAACAGGATTGTGATAGTGGATCTCCTCGAGGTGAGGAGCGGGGACGTAGGTCGTGGTGACCGAACCTCGTAAACATATCGTGTGTTTGTGTTTTGCTTAGCGTATTTTTATTTATCTTTATTATTCATATCCATATCATATTTCTTCTTGCAAGATCAAATTGATCAACACAATTTTAATTAGCTTTTAATTGGGATTAGATTAGCATAAGACCCTAATCACCCCCCCTCTAGGGTCCAACAGTGTTGACTGAGTTTAGGTGGTGAACCCTAGTTCCAATGAGGATTATAGTTGACTTAGAAAAACGAGAAGAATTAGGATGGGGAAGACATGGTTCATGTGATTGGATAAGACTGTTGATGTATCTTCCGGACTCGCACCAGTGAACCGTTTCACATTGGGGTTAGTTTGTTGGGCCAAATGAACCGTTTCGCACTTGGTTAGTGAAATTGTTTCGTCACCCGAATTTTGCTTGAGTTCGAATCAGGCCAAAATCGGATTGCGTGTAGTCCTCTCACCGAACCGTTTTGCGGGTTTGGATGCACGTAGGGGATTTATGAACAGTCATTTATCCGATGATATGAGCGATGACTCTGTGTGAGATGGACCAGTGAGATTTAGGATGGTTATTATCCGACCCGGTTACTGTATGTATATAGCTGTATGTTATCATGTTTAGTATAGAAATCCATCTTGATTTATTTAGATTTTCAGTTGCATGTGTTATCGTCTTTCTATTGGTATTATTACTATCATAGCATGAGTCATACGACCGTTTCATTTTCCATGTGAGATCTTGCCATGTGCCATGCACGCTGACGTACACCTGTTTTCTCTGGTGTGCGTCAGACTTAGGAGATGGGCATGTTCAGTTCGGTGATGCAGCCGAGCCAGTGTATGCCCAGCCGGAATGTCCTTCCGATGGAGTGGAAGAACAAACTGAAGCCTAGACGTGCTTTTCTTTCTGTAGTAGCTGATAGAACGCTCTTATAGTATTTTCTTTAGTTGGTGACAGATTTGGTTATATTGTTAGTATTTCCTTTTATTATGGACTATGTATTTCTTATTTCCTAGTTGAACTGTTAGTGTAGTAAGGGTATGTTGAACCTATATTTTATGTCTTGGATGATCTGTTGATGATATGTTTATTTCTTATTCTGGGTTGTCTTTATATTCTTACTATTGTGATCGGGGACCTGTGATTGAGATTTGTATATTTGATGCTTAGCGTATTGGATTGAGAAGAAAAAAATGATAGTATATATTTTTTCTTAATCTAATACGTCGCGGGCTTGTTCACGTTCCGATTCCTCGGTATTTTGGGAAGCGGGGTGTGACAAGTTTTAGTGGTGGCCCATGCAGGTCACGGTCCCGAGTTCCCACTAGTAAGAATGTATTGGACAATTCAAATACATATCATTTTTCATCCGTAAGACTACAATTAAGTTCTTATACTATTATCTTAATAACTATGTTTTAGTTCCTATTTTCCAAATATATTGTTTGATTTTAACCTTAGTTTTCCTTTTGATCCTCGTTTCCTTTAGAACCATGGTGGGTACTCGTAATAATGGTAACCCATCCAGTAGCAGTGATCAGATGCCTGAAGCAGATCCGCAGCAGCTTTTAGCGATGATTCAGGGGCTGGTGACGAACCAGCAGTTCTTAGCTGGGCATTTGCAGTAGGAGCCTCAGCACCAGCATCCCCCTCGTTCGGAGCCTGGTGTTAGAGAGTTTTGATATATGCGGCCTCCTTCCTTTACTGGTGCCGAGGGACCTTTAGCAGCAGAGGAGTTCCATAAGGTCACGGAGACTATCCTTACGGTGACTTGTATTCCCCCTACAGAGTGGGTAGATCTCATGGATGTCCAGCTCACGGATACAGCTAGAATCTGGTGGGCTGCTGAGAAGACACACCTAGAGAGGCCGATTCTGTGGGAGACGTTCACGGATCGCTTCAATAGGAAGTATTTTCCTCAGTCGGCCCGAGATGAGCTCCTGCGTAGATTTGTCGAGATCAATCAAGGAGGTCGATCCGTTGACTATTACGAGGCCGAGTTATCTTCTTTGAGCCGATATGCTCCCCACTTGGTTACAGATCCTACTATTAGGAAGCACCAGTTCCAGAAAGGTCTGGACAAGTATATCAGATTGGCTTTGGCTAGTAGGGCTCTCGCGACTCACGATGCCGTATTGGATGCAACACGCGAGATTGAGAGCGTGCAAAAGAAACTAGAAGATTCACACTTGATTCAAAATAGGACACCAGCAGCTCCGACCCGGAATGTCGAGCGCCCCCCTCCGAGGCAGCAGCAGCAGGCTTGAGACGGCAGCAACATTCTCGAGCGTACGCATTCTCAAGCGAGGTCTCACGCTTCAATCAGCGCCGCTGGAGTGCAATCTCATGCCAATCTTCAGTGAGTGGTGCTTATTGTGGCTATTACCGGGCATACCCAATAGAATGCGCAAAGCCGCTGACGTTTGTGCTATACTTGTGGGCTCCTCCGATCACCATCAGTCCGAACTGTCCAGCAGCGGGCAAGCGGCTCGTTTGCCCCCACCTCCAGTTCGGGCAGCTCTCCCAGCTCCACCTCGACCAGTCCCGGCAGCACAGCCTCAGCACAGATCCTATCCTCGAGCAGGGCCTCTTCCTCCACAGCAGCAACTTTATCAGGAAGTACACAGGCAACAACCTCAGCGACAGATGTTCATGATGTCAGCCGTAGAAGCTGAGGCGAACGATCAAGTTATCACTGGTAAGAATTGTTTATCTTAGTCTTAATTGCATATGAATTTTCTTGTTACATAATGATACTATGATAGGATTGTTTAAGAATACTAAGTTAGTTATATTTACATCCTCCTATAATAGGTAAGGTTCTTGTTTCTTCCGTTCCTGCTTTATCACTCTTTGATTCTGGAGCCTCCCATTGTTTCTTGTCTCATCGATTTGCGAGTACCCACTCTCTTCCTATAGCTTCTCTGACTACGGGCTGGAATATTAACACGGGCAGTGGTGTCTTAGTAGCATCTAGTGGTTATGAAGCATGCCCTGTAGTCATCTGCGGGAGGGAACTCTTCACAGACTTTCTGGTGATTGATTTGCCGAGCTTCGATGTAGTATTTGGGATGGATTGGTTGGGGTCGTTCTTTGCCACCATTGATTGTCACCGTCGGAGCGTAGTGTTTGAGATACCGGATCACCCGAGGTTTGAGTACCTTAGTGGCAGCACATCGGCCGGACCTGTGGAGTTCAGAGCTAGACCAAAGAAGGTGACATTAGCTGTGATGCAAGTGGAATCCGAGAAGCCAATTATAGTTCGGGAATTTGAAGATGTGTTTCCCGATGATATTTACGGATTACCACCGGATCACGCAATTGAGTTTTCCATAGATTTGAAGCCGGGAGTTGCTCCGATCTCCAAGACTCCTTATCGTATGCCCCCAACTGAGTTGGCCGAGCTTCGGACTCAGTTGGATGACCTTTTGCAGAGAGGCTTGATACGACCCAGTGTATCGGCCTGGGGAGCACCTGTGTTGCTTGTAGGGAAGAAGGAATGGATCCAAGCGGATGTGCATCGACTACCGGGAGTTGAATGCGGTGACAGTGAAGAATAAGTATCCACTTCCTCGTATCGATGATATTTTCGATCAGTTGGGAGGATCGATAATATTTTCTAAGCTGAACTTACGGAGCGGGTATCACCAGGTGAAGGTTAGGGATTCTGATGTCCCTAAGACTATGTTCCGGACAAGATATGGACATTATGAATTCTTAATGATGCCGTTTGGTGTGACTAATGCGCCGGCAACATTCATGAACCTGATGAATTTGGTATTCTATGATGTATTGGATAAGTTTGTGGAGGTCTTTATTGATGACATCTTGGTGTACTCTAAGAGTGAAGTAGAACATGCAGAGCATTTGCGGTACATATTGAAGACCTTGAGGGAGCACCGGCTATTCGCCAAGTATAGTAAGTGCCAATTCTGACTAGATCGTATAGCATTTCTGGGACATGTGGTGTCAGGAGATGGCATATCAGTGGATCCGTAGAAAGTATCTGTAGTGAAGGATTGGCCTACCCCTAAGTCGGTGTCAGACATTAAGAGCTTCCTGGGATTAGCTGGTTACTACCGTCGCTTCATCAGAGATTTTTTGAAGATTGCGGAGCCGATGACGCGACTTACGAGGAAGGATATTAAGTTTGTCTGGTCTGACGCTTGTGAGCAGGCGTTTGAGGAGTTAAAGTCACGACTGATTTCGGCCCTGGTCTTGACCATACCAGATAAGAGAGGGAACTTTGAGGTGTTTTGCGACGCATCAGGTAGAGGATTGGGATGCGTTCTTCAGCAGGATGGTCATGTGGTAGCATATGCTTCTCGTCAGTTGAAGAAGCATGATGGTCATGTGGTGGCATATGCTTCTCGTCAGTTGAAGAAGCATGAGCAGAATTATCCTACCCACGACTTAGAGTTGGTAGCTGTGATTTTTGCTCTTAAGCTCTGGAGACATTATCTGTTGGGAGAGCAAGTCAAGGTGTTCACTGATCATAAGAGCTTGAAGTACATATTTACTCAGAAGGAGCTCAACATGAGGCAACGCCGATGGTTAGAGCTGATGGCGGATTATGACATTGATCTTCAGTATCATCCTGGCAAGGTCAATGTAGTACCAGATGCTTTGAGTCGTTTGCCGTCGATTATGACCCTCACGGCGCAGTGGAGACTTCAGCAGGAAGTGAGGGATATGAGTATAGAAGTTCTTCTTCCAAGTATCACCGCTTCCTTGATGAATCTTCAGATTCAATTGACACTGGTCGAGCGAATCAAGGTAGCTCAAGCAGATGACCCATTTCTTCAGAAGTGCAGAGAGTTAGTTGTCGGCAGGAATTTGTTATTCATGAAGACGGATCCTTATGATTTGGGAGTCGTATCTGCGTACCAGGAGGAGATGTTCGAGAGGAGTTATTACGGGAAGCTCACAGCTCACCATATTCTATTCACCCTGGAGGTACGAAGATGTATAAGGATCTGAAGCTGAATTATTGGTGGCGTGGTATGAAGAGAGATGTGGCTCGTAGTGTGGCTAAGTGCCTTGTATGTGAGCAGGTGAAGGCAGAGCATCGACGCATCGTAGGTCTTTTGCAGCCGTTTTTCTATTCCAGAATGGAAGTGGCAGCATATCACCATGGATTTTGTTACTGGCTTACCTCAGAGCACTAAGAAAAATGACGCTGTTTGGGTGATCGTAGATCGATTAGCCAAATCAGCTCACTTCATTCCTTTCTGAGTGGGACAGTCGACGGAGCATCTTGCTCAGAGATACATGGAGGTAAAATATTTACCTCTATATATTTCAAGGAGTTCCTTTTCCAAGAGTGTTAGTAAATCTCCCGTATTACAGGAGATCGTACGATTGCACAGAGTTCCAGTGTGCATCATTTTGGATCGTGATACCCGATTTACCTCAGAATTCTGGAAGAGTTTGCAGGCGAGTATTGGGACCAGTCTCAGTTTTAGCAGAGCATATCATCCCAGACTGATGGGCAGTCAGAGAGGACCATTCAGATTTTGGAGGATATGCTTAGAGCTTGTATGCTTGACTTCCACGGGTCGTGGGAAGATCACTTGCATTTGGTGGAGTTTGCATACAACAATAGCTTCCAGGCTAGTATTGGAATGGCCCCTTTTGTAGCATTGTATGGCAGGAAGTGCCGCTCTCCGTTGAGTTGGGACGATGTTGGTGAGCGGGAGATTTTCGGGCCGGATTTGATTGATATATCAGTTGATGCAGTCAGGATCATTCGGGAGCGACTTCGCATAGCGCAGGACAGATTCAAGCATTGGGCAGATGCGAAGCGCCGACACTTGGAGTTTTAGCCAGGAGATCATGTGTTCCTCAAGATTTCCCCCAACCGAGGCACCATTCGCTTTGGAAGGCGTGGGAGGTTGAGTCCGTGATATGTGGGACCTTTGGACGTATTAGAGAGAGTGGGAGAGGTGGCGTATCGACTTGTATTACCACCCGCTCTGGCTAGAGTGCATAACGTATTCCACATTTCTCAGTTGCGAAAATACATTAGAGATCCAAGTCATGTCGTAGATTTCTCGGAGATTAAGGTGCGATCCGATTTGACATACGAGCAGCAGCCTGTGGCGATTTTAGACCGAAGGGAGAAGATCCTCTGGAATAAGACCGTTTCGCTTGTTCGTGTGATGTGGCACCCAGATTCTCCTGAAGAGTCGACTTGGGAAACTGAGTCTAGGATGCGACAGCGATACCCTTAACTATTTCCTGAATCCTAGCTGTCACATATTGTATCTTATCTTGTATCATTCTTGCATTACGTTTCCCTTGCTTATGGTCAAGTAATTCATTTTGAATCCTCCTCTATATGAGTTGAATTGAGTCTCTCGTTCTATATTTTGTCCTTGGGATCCTGTGCATCATTCTTATTTTAATTCCGTGGGCGGAATTTATTTTAAGGGGGGTAGAATGTAATGACCGTGAATTTTGATACTAATTTAAATAAATTTTTGGTATTTTAAAATATTTAATTCTTATTTTTAAAAAGAGTATTTGCATTTTTCTCGATTTTCCCAATAATTTTCTATGATTTAAAGTTCAAGTTTTATATTTATTTAAATAATTTAAAATATTTATAAATTTATTTAGTACAGTAAAAATTTCTAGAATTTATCCGTTATGTTATCGATACCACACATATCATTTTAAATTATACGTTGTATTATTGTTACTATTATGTATTATTTCATGTATAATGTTGTATTATTAATTTTGTATTATTTGTATAAATTGTTGTATTACTATACTATTTAGTATCAACTGTTGTATTAGCACAACAGGTATGTTTTTATTTATAGAAAATTATTTTGTAATTAGTTAAAATTTTAAAATACCGTAATTAATTATTTTAATTAATTTATTGATTTAAATCTAAATCATATCCTATATAAATACCCAGTATACAGTCCTCCATATCACCCCACACTGCGCACAACCACTCCCACTCCCTAAAGCAACTACTCACGTACACCCACGTCATCTGCCCCAACTCCTCAATAAATAATTCTACAGTCATTCTCTCCCCCCTCCATTTCCCAAAAGCTTGAATCAACTCCATCTCCTCTCCCTCATCCTCTAGCGAACCCAACAAGCGTGCCACCCCTTGACCCGACAAAACTTCGCGCCTTCCTCCCTCCTCCCTAACCGTGCCGCCGCCGATCATCCCCAACATCCGACCGCCCTCCTCAACCTCTGAGCTCGTCGATTTCCAGCCGAGCTCCTCCGCCTCAAGCCC